CCAATGTAGATTGTACGCGGCTGTGTAAACATAAAATAAATACAACAAATAGTATGTCGTTAATGRCTTGCACCCTGCCGCAGCATGTACGACGCATATGTTATAGTTATAGTACACGGTAATAATAATAGTACACTCTGGCGGCCACTTTAGGAGACGGTGCTGCAGCATCGTTTGAATGTTTGAAATCGTAGTTCTAGTTCAGTACTCACTACTCAGTACTTAGTAATACTGAGTCAGTACTGATCAGCTCATCGCATCACGCCAGGTCCTGACAATATAACTGGACGAAAATATACAATATACATTCTTCAGGATATTTTATTGTTACAATTTTATAATATTATACGCCGATGACGGTAGGTTGGTAATCGGTAGCTCATATGTGATGATGCATTGTTTTGAAATTTTCGATTTTATAGAAACTCCAGTAAGCCACACCAGTAAACAACCAAAGTATCACCCTATATATAGTTTAGTCGGACATACTATAATAGTGTTAGTGTAATTATATAAGTATTGTACAAAAATACTAATTATTTTTTTTAATTGAACAATAAGGTGAATCCTTGATACCCATGATATCGGATAAGAAGGGTGTTTGTTTGGTTCGCTGTTGTGAATTTGTATACAATTTGATTTTTATCTGATTATACTGGTAAGTATAGACATGAATACATGATGCAGTACGCTAAACGCTAGTAGTTAATATCCATCGAATCCCATCCACTGGCGGACTATGCCAGTGTGGAACCGAGACAATTCTCGGTGGGCAGCGTATCTATTATTATTATTTTTTAAATATATTCCTTTTTATTACAAAATAAAATCAATAAGACGTAATAAGCATAATAAGAAAAGTATATAAAAAAAGTAAAAAAAAAAAGCTCAGGATAAATATTTATTTTGTCCGTGCGCAAATATGGCCCCGTACACAACAGAATATTCCAAAAAGTTATTGTTAAATATTTGCATGTTTTATACATTTATAATATTGTACTTAGTTGAAAAATAAATAATTATATATTAACGCTAACCTAGTCCAAATGAGATAACGAAATAAAATTATAGGAACGAGGACTMGTATAAAATATAAGTAGTCAGTAGGTATATAAAAATTCGGCGTCAATTGGATGGTGAAGAAGATAGATATTAGATAAAGTAGGTACGATTCAAACAATTAAAGCGACTACAACACTATTACACAACTATAGTTGACACAACTACACAAGCCACTACGGACGTTAGAATGCTATGGTATTGTGGTTGTGGCTCTGGTGCGCCGGTGGGGATATACGAACCGTATAATATCCCCTCCATTTTTGTAACACAAATTTCTGATTACTCCATACATAGTATATACAACAAAACTACTTTTTTCGTAGACAAACATTAATTGATATGATAAATGTGTAGAAAAACGATCGCGTGTATCTTAGCTATAGGAACCTTTTATTACAGTTGACCTGCATAATAGAATATTAATGAGTATTAAGTTTTTGACCATTTTTTAGTTTAAGTTTAAAAGTTAGGCGTTCTCATTCGTATCGTAACTGATTATTAAAATAAGTAATAAATTACTTATATTAAAACTTGTAAGCTATATCAACTGTCAAGTCTATAMTATATATTATTATATATTGACTATAACTATAACATGTTACTGAACAAGACATTCTGTGATTATTTTAAAAACTAATAATGATAATAATATAACATTAATATACTATAATGTGTCAATGCGTGATACGTGTGGTATTATATTTGTAGTAGATGTATACAATGTACATAATTTAGGTGCAAAATACATAATACATATTATTAGGTAGGTACATGCATTTAAATAAGCTGAACTCCCAAAATCCTTGTATACAATTATAATAATACAAGTGAGGTAATTAGTTAACAAATTTTACCTTTTTACAGTACATTATTGTGATTCTAGCGACCATATAAACTAAAATAAGCACTTATATTATCTATTAAAGTTCAGACTTGAAAGATGGGTCAGCAATTTTGTATTCTTCAGTATTGAATTTTGTTTTATATACAAAATGAAACAATTTTAAAATACTAACAGTCGTAATGCGAAGCGGGGGGCTGGCTAAGCCCTTCTAAATATAAAATAAGCCGACTCATTCCCAAAAACTCATACTGTAGGCACTTATTAGTTATTATTATAATATTATAAATAGGTCACCTATATCTACATTTATTTTACTTTTTTTAAATAAAATATATTAATCGATAATCAAAATAAATTATAACCTGTATAAGTTATGCGTGGAAATAATATGATTCAAGCCAGTTATATTTTATATATATATTTTTTAGTAATTATATTTTATTAATTCATGTTATTTCTTTTTTGTTTTGTTTTTTTGTATACTACTACTTTTCTATTAATTAAGGCTCCAGTCCTACCAAATAATCTTAGAAGGTTCCGATTAAGTCGCATAAAGATGATGTCAGATGTCAGCGCGCTGTTTGTTTTCTTTCTTTGCAGGCCTACGTGTAAGTAAGTGTATAACATTAACAAAATTAATTCACGCAAAATCATTTATTTTTATGTTGTAAAGTAATCTTAGAATAAAATCACTCATTATAAAAATTATAGATTATATTATTATTGAAGGTATTACATATAGATTTATCTAAATATTGTCTCAAAATAAGTTTATATTAATTTAAATATAAAACCGATGTGTCAAACTCTCAAAAATAGTATACTCTATAAATTTTGTTACAGCGAATTTTACTCTAAAATTATTCAAAAATTATAAAATAAAACAATTTTACGCAATGCATTTTATGTATGTTCCACATGGGTTCGAGAGACAGTCACATAAAACAAATATTGCGCTGACATTCATTAAAATTGATTAAAATCTATTTTTAATACTATGATTAGTGATTACATACATTTTAGTCTTACAGAACCTGCAGCAAGTTTTAACAGATTATATATATATATATATCTATAATCGCTATATCAATATAATGCCTTGCAGTATGTATCACTGTATATGCAGTAGCGGCGGTATCTCTAAAGTCTGCGAATATTTCAAGTATGTCAGTCCATAAGTACCTTATACCTTTTTATAAAAATTGCCTCTAGCCACTTTATTGTAAC